ATACCAAAACACACTGTCTCATTATTGTACAGACCATTCGACAAATTATAATCGATCAAACCAGAACTTTGATAACTTTTCATCTACACATAAAAGGACGTTTGAACTTTTTAAAACTACCTTTTTACTCCAGTTGTTTGTACCTTTTTGTTATATAAATATTTTATTTATTGTTGTGCAAAAAATGTTGTTTCTCATGTTGTCCTTATGTTTGTTGAATACTGACATTTAATGTGAGAGGAAATTGTTAATTTCATCACGCAGCCTAATTTACTCAAAAAATTTTGATCAATATAATTTAATCATTAACACAACCTCTGCAGCGTCATTTGTTATTGCAACAACTTTTTTTTGTCACGGAATTGTTTGAATTAAATTTCACTATTTGTTCGTCACTCAGTTGTCACAAGACAATATCTGGGGGTCAGAATTAAGAGACTGCCAATTTTGCCACACCCTAAAATGTACGATCGATTTACAAACGAAGTTTCTAATTTCGTAACTATTTCCATCGACTGTCGGAAAGACAGAAAAGGAATAGGTTTCTACATTATACGTACATTGTAAATGTGTCAGGAAGATGGATAAGATTCTTTTTGCAGTTGTTGCTTTTACTTTTCCAAGAGATTGAAACATATGCAATCCATTTCACGATGTCATTAGCTCAACTCAGCAAGGTGTCCGTTTTTTGTTTTTAATCTTCCCCTCACCTTCCTTCCCTGGAGAAATTAAAACAAACATGGCTTACGCACTTGCAGACTCTTTAGCAATGCAATAATGAATATTTTACGGTGGCTTTGGGGTGTAATCGCGGTGCCCTATGATTCAGAGGCGCACATTTTGAAAAGTCACTCACTATTTTCTCTCTTGTTATGGGATCTTACCCATAATAATAATAATGGACTATTCCATACTTAATAAATACTGCGCCTCAGGAGTAGGCAAGGAGTCAGTAGTTCAAGTTGAGTCAGTAGTTCAAGTCGAGTCAGTCAGTCGAGTCAGAGGCAGTCCGAAACAGAGTCGCGTTCAGACAATTACTGCAAGACATTGGAATAGTGATACTGGTCGAGATTACATTGTTTTCTCTACTAAACCTGATTGTTCATACTAACACTTCTACTTCTCTGTATATATTCCTGTTTGTAATATATCTGTGTTATTCCATATCCATGTTAGAGTTCTTCTTTATTGGTTCTACCTTGGACTATCACCGTGGTACAAGGAACCGGACCATAACATTTCTGAAATTCAGGGATGAGGAATTATCATTATTTGCACTATCTACAACTGAAGGCACGGTGGATTAATGGATAGCGGTTCGGATGTAAGAATCGGAGAGCCGAGTTCGAATTCCAGCCAAATCCATTACATTCACTTACGTGCTAATGATGCAACCGTATGGATCCTTTTTTCTCCCTCAGCTATGGGGAAATAGGGCAGACCGGTTTATATCGCCTTGGATGACAACTGGTCTACCGCAAAAACAAATGGCAACCTACTGCGGGAAATTATCTGCCTCATCAATCATGTATCTAAAGATACATGATCGCCTAAGCGTGTATTACTTACATAACTAAAAGGATTATAGACCAAGCTCTCTAGCTCTGGAATCAATGGAAGTGTCTTCTCAATTATGAAGTTTTTCTTAATGTATAGATCCCTTAAGGCAGCTGTTAAGTGCCAATCCTCCTGATCTTCAAACGATCAACATAGGCCTCTGGGGTGTAATCGCGGTGCCCTAGGATGCAGAGGCGTACACTTCAAAATTCAGGGATGAGGAATTATCATTATTTGCACTATCTACAACTGGAGGCACGCTGGATTAATGGATAGCGGTTCGGATTGGGGAATCGGAGAGCCGAGTTCGAATTCCAGTCAAATCCATTACATTCACTTACGTGTTAATACCCTCGAGAAAGATATGTATCCTCTTCTTCTCATCCACACCCCGCTATCGGTAAATGGCAGGACAGACCAGATAACATCGTCAGTCATTTATCGAAAGATACATGATCGCCTAAGAGTGTAATATGCATGACACATAACCGATGTGACAACTGGACTATTGTCCCAATTCTTGTTATTGTTGTTACCAAAACATTTCAGCCATTGGGCTCTCCGGCTATCATCAGATGTTTGTTGATCCGGGAAACCTAAAGGGAATTATGAACCCTCTGTTTAATCAACAGATGTAGCGGGTAGATTGCCCTCGTTCAACTGTTAAGTCCTTAAATTTTGTACTGATCCGTTATTGCTCGCTCTTTTCTCACTGAGTCCAAGTACACACCGCCCGTCCCAAATATTATTTTTGTCTCTGAATTCAATGGTTTAATCCACGTGGCTAGTCTCCCTGATGAAGGACGTAGAGCATAACACCGGAAGCATTGTCATAATAACAACAAAAAAGAGGAAAATAGTCTGCCTTTATAGAGTGTAAATAATAAGTTTATCTTTATCATCTTTTTGTTGATGACATCTGTTGAGGGAAGCCATTTTCTTTAGCCGAAGCTTCACGAAAGATTTTCATACCTTCAAATTTCATCAGTCACAGAATATGACATTTTCCTCATGTTTAAGATTATCTCAAGGTGCTTAGAAGCGGTCTAGCAAGCTCATTTTTTTTACAATGGTGATGACTCTGTAAAAATCTCGAAGGCCACTCGACGTAGAGGGTTACTGATTAGGATGCTCAGCTTATGCGGATACGTAACTGTTAACCCTAGACCTGATTTTTATTTTTGTATATCTGCTGAACCCATTCTCTAAGCGAATGTATGACGTTTGCTGCCAATATAGGTTCTTGATTATTCTAAGGTCTTTCCCAAATATATCAAGGTTGCTGAGCAGTTCGAACAGATTTTTGTGGCGAACTTTCTAGAACGCCTTTGCGTAGTCTACAAAACATAGGTGCACGTTCTTATGCATTTGTATTGCACTTTCTGATAACATTCTGAGCATGAATATCGCGTTCATTGTTCAGGTATCTTTAACGAACTCGCGTTGTTTTTGCGGTATCTCTAGTCTGATTCAGCTGTACGCTCGGTAATGTCTTTTGTTACATGGCTCATTGGGGTGATTGTTCGGTGGAGTTCACATTCGTTTGCACCTGATTTCTTAGGCATTGCTATGAAGATAGATCTGCTGAGATCTCCCGGTATATCCCCACTGTTGGAGATTTCATTTCTTCTTTCTGTGATCTTGTTTATGCCAAAATCATCTAAGGCTGTCAGCATTTCCGTTACAATTCCGTCTGGCCCTGCCGCATTGTTTCTCTTTAATTTGGCCAGTGCAGCTTCTTTAAAATTACCGGCCATTCCCTAGTTCTGTGTATGTAACGGTTAACCCTAGACCTGAACAGGTTATCATTTTAGTGTCCGGGGACGTATCTCTTTGGGAATCGGTTCCAAAAAGCAGTCGTTCGCTGTAAGAAGCTACCCGAAATGAACGTATATCTCACCAATGGAATACGAAGGGAATGAGACTGGTCAGCTACAATGGGCGTGGCATGGCGGATCCTAGCCGGGAAGGTCAGGAACTAGGTAGAACTAGGGAGGTATTATAGGCTGGGGAATAATTCGTCACCCATAAGAACGCGGACACGCAAACTGAAAAGTGACGACTGTCACTAGTACTCCATGTTCGGTATGATCTAGTTTTTGTTAAGGTAGATAATAGCAGGAGATATGTCCTTGCTGGAGCGGTACAGTGAATCGACCATTTTACCAGCACCTTTAGCTATGGATCGTTTTCAAGAGTTTCACTTTAGGCTCTCACGCATTCTTGAAAACCGGATTAAGCTCCATACTTTTCACAGACATGGGAAGGAGTTCTCCTTCAAGCAGCGGTTAAATAATTTCGCTAAGATCGGGGATAATCCCGGTTTAATATTCTTATGGAGAACCACTGGGATTATATCGGACCGATGTCATTATAAGGGCCAAGATTTTTTGATAAACCTTGAGATTTCTCAGGCTGTAATGATAATATCACTGAGACGTGTGAAGTCACTAAGAGAATGAATATTACCATCTAACGTTGAAGCAAAGATCGAAGTGAAGAGAGTTCGTCTTATCTGAATGTGGATGAGATGACTTTAGAGCCATTTATAATAACACGTAATGAAGCTATGCTTCTATTCAGAATCTAGTTACAGATCTTTCAGAACACTCGTTACCCAAGTCCTTTGTTTTGATTTCAAACTTGGCCTAGACTGTTTGCACATAGCTGCACGTTGCATTTTCTAGAATTCTCTTGCAATGATTGCTAGTAGTTCTAAATTCAGCAAGAGGCTTTCTACACCGTTCCCTCGGATAGGTATTGTAGTCATGCTTACGGTGAGCTATGACTGTAGTATATTCGGGGGTCAGCCGGTGCTGCCTTTTCGGTTTTTGCTGGGATTATTTTCTATGGTATAATACTCTCCATTCTAGTAAGGATCTATTCAGATATGAAAGTAGCAGTTTTGGAGGCAATATGTTTGAAGAAGTCTGAAAAGGATCTCACGTCATGTAAGATTTGAATCAGTCCCAGTTTTCTTTCGTGTATCAAAAAATCTTTCTCTGTAACGGTCTCTTAAGAGAAGCATTTGATTTGTAGATGAAAACAAAATTAAACTAGCAACGTAAAAACAATCAAAACACTTGTTTTAATCAAATAAAATGAACAGCTGGCAAAGATCAAAATGAAGATCTTTGTCTTATCAGATGAGGTTTGACTGATTTGTTTTCTATAGATTATCAAACCTTTGCTGGTTATTTAAAACCTGTAAATAGTTTTAGATTGTAAGAATGTTATTTTTTTCTGAGATAATAATTATTTAGTCATACAAGTTATATTAATTAACTCATAGCTGAGGGAGAAGAGGTGGATTCATACCTTTCCCAAGGTTATTTGCTGGTAAGTAAAAATAACGAACACAACAGGAATTAGAACTTGGCTCTTCAATTAACAATTCCAAGCCATTATTCATTACACCACTTACACATTCAAGCTTATAATACTGGTATTACCAAGCAGTCACCTATCTAGGTACAGACCAGGCTCGATATTGCTTAACTTTGGTGATCGTATGGGAACTTGTGTTTCAGTGTGATATAAATTATCTGATGAAGATGAAGTAACCTTGGGGCACTATAGCTTTGCCTTTATTCAGAATTTGGTTAGAGATCTTCCTGAATTTGTAAGACCCAATTTGTTTACTTTCAAACTTGGCCTGGACTGCTTGTGCATAGCTACACTTTTCTAGAACTCTCTTGCAATGACTGTGAACAGTTCTGAAGGTAGCAAGTGTCTTACTACACTGCTCATTGTGATAGGTATTGTAGTAGCAGTTACGGTGAGCTATGGCTGCAGCACTTTTGGTGGGTGAAGCAAGGCTGGCTGTTTGGTTTCTGCTATATTTTTTTCTGTGGTATAAAACTATCCATTCCAGTAAGGATCCAGCAGTTCTGGAAGCAGTATGTTTGAAGAAGTCTGAGAGAGAAGCTTCTGCCATGTAAAATCTCAAGCTGTCCCAGGCTGTTTTCGTGTACCGAAGGAGGTCTGCCTGATGTATCAGGGACATGGGTTCGTTCTTCAATATTATACCTTCAGATTATCACTTATTCTGGTTTTTACAGCATACTCTTTCTCCATGGAAAACAAAAATGGTTAATATGTTATTCAACAAAGTGAATGTGGAAAAATAATTATTTTAATTTTACTGAATATACAAAATGCCCATTTAATACAACAATTTCTATATAGATTTTTAACTAACATGTTGTCTAACAATTAGAGAAAATAATAATGACAAAACTTTAGTGTGTGCAATGTAAAGTTAACTATTTAAAAATTAAACAATTGATATTAACCACGACTATTATAATGATTTACCATAAAACCATATTTTTGCCATGACGGCTGAAAACAAGCTACCGCGATGTAAGATCTGAATCAGCCCCAATCTTTCTATGTAGTGGTCTACTAAGAGAAGAATTTGATTTATGGATGAAAAAAAATTCAACAAGCAATGTAAAAACAATCAAAACCCTTGCCTTAATCAAATAAAATGAACAGCTGGAACTAAAGAATAGAGTCCATCTGAATATTTGTCCAGTGAATAGAAACAAAGCAGCAGTAGGCTTGCGACGTTGCGTCTGTAGGTTGGGGAAACTTACTTTCCCTGACGATCCGTTTAGTTGAAACCTAGGTAGGTTTGTCTGGCTCACTAGGTGTATATATATATATATATATATATATATATATATATATATATATATATATATATATATATATATATATATTATGTGTGTGTGAGTTCCACTTGAGATTTTAGAGAGAAGTCGAGACCTAACAGATATTCAAAGAAATCAAGGTAAAATGTGACAGTTAAAAAATGTCACAAGAAAAACAGAAGGGAACAATGTTTCTGCGTCTTTCTTTAATAGAAAAGATTAATTATCGAATTATCAATTCTCAAAAATACTTGGATTTAGTGAAAAATAATTTAAGGCCTTATAATGTGTTTTTAGAAGTTCGCGCCAAAAATATACACAATGTAGACAATATACTAATATTGTTTGTGCCGAATTAAGTGCTTAATTTTTTTTTTTGAGACATAACCCCACATTAGGTTTCTTTGCGTCCTGAATTGACCTATAATCGAAGAAATATCAAATTCGATCGTGTAGTTTAGGATTTTGAGGGTTTAGTCGTTTTTTCAATAACGACAAACAACGTGTGGTCACGTGATCTCTTGTTGACAAAACAAATCATTTATGTATTAAATTAAATAAACAAACTAAAATATGTAATTACAGTTTAAAAATAATCAACTAAAATTAAATTTAAAAGATTGAATCAAGTAAAATGTTTATAATACAATTCTTTATAAAATGTTTAATATCAATTTCGCCTTAAAACATAAATGGAATTGATATGGTTTAAGTAAAATGTAACTAATTCGCCAGAGGATATGAAGCCTAATTCAAGCATAGATTTATAGAAAGGGATGTCTATATACTACAGAGCTAGGGTTCCAGAATATCCTTTAAGGTCTGACCTGATAAGAATAAAACCTATATAAACTATAGTCATATAGCGCTAGTTAATAACTGGTTTTAAATAGTTTTGTTTTGTTATTTAGTTGTTCGTGGTACTTAAATAAATATTATCTAACGTTTTCGCTGTGACATTATTGCCAGCCACAATAAACTAATTGTAAATTTTTTCCTATGGTGACTTTTTGTGATTTATTTTTTCTTTTAGTGAGTTACCAGCCACGGTTTAAAGAACAGAACTTCGATCAGAGTTCAATCGTTGACAGGAGGAAACTCAGTGTCTGATCGGTGAATAAAATACTGAGTAATTACATTTCATACATTCTTACATTGTAAAAATTAGAAAGAATAATAACAATAAAAAGCCGTCCTGGGTATGACGATAAACTACATCCGGCAGCAAGGCCGCTGACCGGGAGGTTTTGACGAACGTGGAAACAACGGTGTGGTAGCACCTGTTAGGGTCATAGCTATACGCAAATAGATAAACCCTTAACATGGGGTTAGAATACTGTAAACGTATAAAAATGTTTATAGTAAAAATAACAGCAATATATTTTCATAGTAAAAAAAAAAATTACTAGCAATACCTTTTTGTAAAAAATGAAGAAACAATTCCCAGGAATAGGTTTTTGTAAAAGAAAATTGCATGTACTCCCCAAAAATTGATATTTCGGCATTAAATGACCCATAAGGAGTTGATATGCCGCTAAACAAACAAACAAATAATTAAGAATGAGTAAGAAATAAAACTAATGAGAAAAGTACGTATGTTTTTTTTTTTTCAGTGACCAAAATCTTAGTTTGCGAATTTGTTTTTAACAGCGCAAGCTGCAAGTTAAAAGACGTATCTAGGGTCGCGTATAGACGTGCACGCGGTTTGTTTTCAGGTTGCGTATTGTCGAAAATCCTACTTGATATAAGCATCTAGTAAAAAAAATGGGAGCAGAACGCTCAGAGATTTTGTACCAGTTTTGGGTACATCTAACCTTTTTGCCCTGATCGTCACAAATAGTTATTGTATCATAATTTGCTCTATTCATTCTTCTATTGACAATAAAATTAGCTTTTATACAAGTTTACATTTTCCTTTTCTTCAGGTGTCGATTAAGTGCAGGAAATTTCGGCTTTGACCTCAAATGGCTTCATTACGCAACCCAAAACCCCATGTTTACCAAACTGTGTGTAATTACGTAGAGTTTGAGAAAGGCTGGAATCAAGTGCTTTTAATACAGATGCTGAATAACACCAAATAATGTCAAGATTTCAACAGAGTCTTAATGACATTTTCATAAAAGTTACTTCAGCTACAAAAATTTCAGCTGACAAATACAAATGTCCTTCTTGAAATAAACGACTAATAAAGGCTTATTGTCACGAAAATGCCTGTTATTTGGAGATAAAATTATCCTGTAGAGATTAATAAACCACTTCAAACCTAGTCCAAATAATCCCCACTAGTACACATATTTCACATAGTAATAGATCTTATATATATATATATATATATATATATATATATATATATATAATTATTTTTTTTAAATATGATTCCTTCATAAAAAAAAAAAAAATAAAAAAATAATTATAATTTAGGCTTTACTTTTGTATTGAGCGCTGTTTTTTTTAAAATAAAAACAAAATACTAAAGAACTTCGGATTATTTACCAAAGTGTTATTTCGTATTTTTTTATATATTCACACACACACACATATATATGTATGTATATATATATATATATATATATATATATATATATATATATATATATATATATATATAAGAAAAATATACTGAAAAAAAAAAACAAAAATCCTAATATGCGATTATGCTGTTTTAATGTTTAATGTCAACGTCGGACGTTAATTATGTTTTATGAATATGTCCTGAAGATGGTCTATTAGACCGAAACGTCCGACGTTGACATTAAACATTAAAACAGCATAATCGCATATTAGGATTTTTTTTTTTTTTTTTTCAGTATATTTTTCTTCATACTGTCTGATCTATATTCATATATTCGCTGAGAAAAGCCACGCCTAAAACGTGCAATAAAAAAAGCGCTCAATACAAATTTCCCAAAGGTTTGAGATGTAGATCAAAATATATTCAGAAACACTAAAACACAAATTACCACGCTACCTAGGTTTCCTCAGGCAGGCAGAATGAAAAATCTAGTGGATTCCACCGCCATATTATACAAACACTGGAAGTTAGGGGGAAAAGAAGGAGGAAGAAATAAAATAAAAACTAGCGAGAAAAAAATAATATCATACAAGTTCGTACATGCACAATAAATATTTACTTAATATGTCTGCATTTGTATAATACCTCCGATCTTTCATTTATCAGAGCTTCCTTGTTTGAGTCTATGGCGATGACCAATTTCTACTCTTGAGAAAAAAAAATTATATGGTTGAAAATTATATGGTTGAAATGTATGCTATATTTATGGATAAATGTGTTCAATATCAGAGATAGAACCTATGTAATTAGGTAACATAAATGCAAACATTGAGGTCGACACCTAGAGGCGACAGTCTGTTTCATGCTTGAAGACAATCCTGAAGCTTAAGGATTGCGTTCAAACATAAAACAGACAATCGTTGCTAGAGTTGACCACTTATATATATATATATATATATATATATATATATATATATATATATATATATATATATATTATTGTTGGATTGATGTGAGTTTGTGACCCTGGGTTTCACGCTTTTGCGATCGTCAGACAAACTGATTATGTTTTTAAAAGTTTTGGGTTTATGTAGATTGCGTGTATTGGTGTTATTATGGGAGTGGGGGTCATGGTCGTGATGTCACTTATGCTAACGCAAACATAGATGCATGTCCGTACACCCGATGAGGTACGCAGACACACATACACACTTGCTCGTCCGCCAGGGTTCATACAGATGTAAACATATGTGGACAGTATTAGATTTTACATATGTATGTATATGGGTGGTGTTGTGTCTATACATACACATTTGTATGTTGAAATTCAAAGATCGGAAGTGTAGCGAAAATTTCTCGTG